ATTATTATTATTATTATTATTATTATTATTATTATTATTATTATTATTATTATTATTATTATAATTATTATTATTATTATTATTATTATTATTATTATTATTATTATTATTATTATTATTATTGTTATTATTATTATTATTACTATTATTATTATTATTATTATTATTATTATTATTATTATCATTATTATATCTTCAAGCGTACAGTCTTCACCACACGCACAGTGCAGTAACACACCGAAAAAGAAAATAATAATAATTTCTTACATTAATCCTCTCACGTTTAATATCTGACAACCTTGACAGCTCCGCCTGCCCTCACCTCCTTCTCTCGTCTCCCCTTCCCTTCCACCTCTCACTCCATCTACACTAAACTCCCCTCCTCCCTTATCTTTAGCCACTCCACCCTGCTCCTTTTCCCTCTCTCCACCGTCCCTACGTCTCTCCCTCCCTCCACCCTTCCTCCCTCCCTCCTCCTCGGAATTACAAACCGTGAAATTGACCTCCGGAAGAAAGAGAACAACCCGCTTGTTTTGTTTCGTATTATTTCTCCTACTTTTGTTTGTATTCATAATCCAAACCAGTTTTCTATAATGTATTCCCAGTAATTCTCATTTTATCTGTGTACGCTTTATCTGCCTTCACCCAAACCATCTTTATTGTCCGTTTTTCACGAGTTTAAGTTTTCTTCTTGTTTTCTTGTGTGTTGGTTCGTTTAGTTAATGTTATCGTATGTTTTGGATAGGAGTGTATAATGCAGACTCGCTTATATGATATTAGGGTGTTAGGTCTTGCCCATGAATATATTATATGTAAATTCCTGCTTAAAAAAGTAGATTGTATCGTTTTTGCTTTTTCTTTTGTATTTTTGTTTTCATGATAATTTAGTTTGCTATTACCTGATCAAGTATTATGATGATTGGAATAATTATGGTCACGTTAACCATTTCATATGACAGGATAACGTTAAGATATCTGAATATAACCATTTGGAGGATGCCTAACCTAACCTAACCTAATGTAACTAACTAGCATAAGCTAATCTTAAATAACCTGACCTAACCCAACCTAACCTAATTAAACATAACCTAAATTAACCTAACCTAACCACATCGTAATCAGTAATATAAACAATAAATTTCCTGAAAAACTGACTGAATAAATATTATTTGTTATACTTTGTCAATAAATTATAATGACAATATATTCAATCTATTTAATCTTTTACAAAAGTTATGTTCAATTATTGTGAGTGAGATTTTTTCTTACGAATACGTTAAGGAAAAGCGTTAGATTGAGGTCTATTGGGGAGAGAGAGAGAGAGAGAGAGAGAGAGAGAGAGAGAGAGAGAGAGAGAGAGAGAGAGAGAGAGAGAGAGATAATACGTCATCAATTACAGAGAGAACAATAAAGAACAGTAATGTCTCAGAACAATACACATCACTCACCACAGAGTTAATAAAATAGAATACAAATAGAGAGGAAAAATGTGGGTTATGGCCATGATGAGAGGCAGTGTTGGTGATGAGAGGCAGTGTGGGTGATGAGAGGCAGTGTGGGTGATGAGTGTTGGTGATGAGAGACAGTGTTGGTGATGAGAGGCAGTGTTGGTGATGAGAGGCAGTGTTGGTGATGAGAGACAGTGTTGGTGATGAGAGGCAGTGTTGGTGATGAGAGGCAGGGAGATGAGTGTTGGTGATGAGAGACAGTGTTGGTGATGAGAGGCAGTGTGGGTGATGAGAGGCAGTGTTGGTGATGAGAGGCAGTGTTGGTGATGAGAGGCAGTGTTGGTGATGAGAGGCAGTGTGAGATGAGTGTTGGTGATGAGAGACAGTGTTGTGATGAGAGGCAGGTGGGTGATGAGACAGGTTGGTGATGAGAGGCAGGTTGGTGATGAGGAGGGAGGAGGTTGTGAGAGACAGTGGGATGAGAGGCAGTGTGGGTGATGAGTGTTGGTGATGAGAGACAGTGTTGGGTGAAGCAGTGTTGGTGATGAGAGACAGTGTTGGTGATGAGAGGCAGTGTTGGTGATGAGAGGCAGTGTGGGGAGATGGTGTTGGTGATGAGAGACAGTGTTGGTGATGAGAGGCAGTGTGGGTGATGAGAGGCAGTGTGGGTGATGAGTGTTGGTGATGAGAGACAGTGTTGGTGATGAGAGGCAGTGTGGGTGATGAGAGGCAGTGGGAGATGAGTGTTGGTGATGAGAGACAGTGTTGGTGATGAGAGGCAGGTGGGTGATGAAAGGCAGCGTGGAGTCGAGTGTTGGTGATAAGAGACAGTGTTGGATGAGAGGCAGGAGAAGAGCGTGGGTGATGAGTGGCAGTGTGGAATGAGCGTGGGTGATGAGAGTAGGTGTGGGTGATGAAAGGCAGTGTGGGAGATGAGCGTGGGTGATGAGAGGTAGTGGGTGATGAGAGGCAGTGTGGGAAATGAGCGTGGGTGATAAGAGACAGTGTTGGTGGTGAGAGGCAGGGAGAAGAGCGGGTGATGAGAGGCAGTGTGAGAGAAGAGCGTGGGTGATGAGAGGCAGTGTGGGAAATGAGCGTGGTGATGAGGAGGCAGTGTGGAGATGAGCGTGGGTGATGAGAGGCAGTGTGGGAAATGAGCGTGGGTGATGAGAGGTGGTGGGAGATGAGTGTGGGTTATGAGAGGCAGTGTGGGTGATGAAAGGCAGTGTGGGAGATGAGCGTGGGTGATGAGGAGGCAGTGGGAAATGAGCGTGGGTGATGAGAGGCAGTGTGGGAGATGAGCGTGTGATGAGAGGCAGTGTGGGAAATGAGCGTGGGTGATGAGGAGGCAGTGTGGGAGATGAGCGGGTGATGAGAGGCAGTGTGGGAAATGAGCGTGGGTGATGAGAGGTAGTGTGGGAGATGAGTGTGGGTTATGAGAGGCAGTGGGTGTGATGAGAGGCAGTGGGGAGATGAGCGTGGGTGATGAGAGACAGTGTTGGTGATGAGAGGCAGTGTGGGAGATAAGTGTGGGTGATGCAAGGCAGTGGGGAGATGAGTGGGTTATGAGAGGCAGTGTGGGTGATGAGAGGCAGTGTGGGAGATGAGCGTGGGTGATGAGAGACAGTGTTGGTGATGAGGCAGTGTGGGAGATGAGTGTGGGTGATGAGAGACAGTGTTGGTGATGAGAGGCAGTGTGGGTGATGAGAGGCATTGTGGGTGATGAGAGGTGTGGGAGATGAGTGTGGGTGATGAGGCAGTGTAGGTGATGAGAGGCAGTATGGGTGACGAGAGGCATTGTGGGTGATGAGAGGCAGTGTGAGATGAGTGTGGGTGATGAGAGGCAGTGTGCGTGATGAGAGACTGTGTGGGAGATGAGAGGCAGTGTGGGTGATGAGAAGCAGGTGGGTGATGAGAGGCAGTGGGAGATGAGAGGCAGGTGGGAGATGAGAGGCAGTGTGGGTGATTTGAGGCAGTGTGGGTGATGAGAGGCAGTGTGGATGATGAGAGGCAGTGTGGGAGATGAGAGGCAGTGTGGAGATGAGAGGCAGTGTGGGTGATTTGAGGCAGTGTGGGTGATGAGAGGCAGTGTGGATGCTGAGAGGCAGTGTGGGAGAGAGAGGCAGTGTGGGAGATGAGAGGCAGTGTGGGAGATGAGAGGCAGTGTGGGAGATGAGAGGCAGTGTGCGTGATGAGAAGCAAGTCATGAGTAACATTATAAAGACAATAATATGTAGATGAGACATGGGATGATCTTAAGGCTGCTTCAGAACAGCAGGTGAGAGAGAGAGAGAGAGAGAGAGAGAGAGAGGGTGGGGGGGTGCTCAACTGAATCTGAGTTAAATGAATAATTTCCATACTCCAGTATACAAAAAAATAAGTCTTACACTTCAATACTCTTGAGACTTACAATACTGTCATGTCAGTTTCAGTTTTAATGAAATTATAGTTTCCAGGCTATAACGAGACCACCACACTTGTAATATAATAGTCGATGATTAAATTAGTGAACCTCTTGTCGGTATGTGTCGTGGACGCCACTCAGGCCAAACATTGTAATCATAAGCCAAAGAAGTCACTGGACCTATACTGTGTTTCTAATGAGAATTTTTACTACATTTTCTCACTCAAACGTGTCTACCACGAGAGGTGTTCAAGTTATGTGAGGGGAGGGGGATTGTGGCATTGGTATTAGTCTCTTTTCAGAAGTAATAATTCAAATAATGATAATTAATAACCCTAGTAATAATATCTGCAGTCGTGCTACTATTGCTGGCACTAATAATGATGAGAAAATGTTGATAATAATGATATTAACAACAACAACAATAACAACAAAAATAATAATAATAATAATAATACGTAATAGAATTAATAACAACACAAAAATAACATTAATAACAAATATAATAATAACAATAGTAATAATATCATCAACTTTCACACCAACAATATAATATAACCAATAGTGAAGACAATAATTCCGAGAACTGGAAACATACACGAGTAATCAATATCCCAACCGGTGACCTGAAGGCGAGTAAAAAAAAGTGAAAGTAAAAATAGAAAGTAAAATGCAAAAGTAAAAGTCAAAGCAAAAATGAAAGTAAAAATCACTGATAGTTTTATGAACGAATCCTCAGGTAACGAAGTTATTAAGGGATGGTCGAATATATCCTACAGTATGAGTGAGTGCTATTGGTGAACACCTGAGAGAGAGAGAGAGAGAGAGAGAGAGAGAGAGAGAGAGAGAGAAATTTTGGCACTCTTCTTCTCACATGTACCTCTCAGTCTTCCCTTTCTTATCTCTTCCTTCTCCTTGATCCTCTGTTCCCCCATTTGTCTCATTATTATCTCTCCCTATCTCAGTATCTCTTTCTCTCTCTTCCCAAATCTCTTATTCATTTTCATTCAATCGTTTATCCTCTTGTCCATACAAAATATTCTAATTTTCACTCGTTTCCTTCCTCCCGCTCTGTTTTTTCTTTTAATTACATTTTCTATCTCTTTTCGCTTTCATTATATATTATATTTCTCCCTCTCTTGCCATCATTACAATTTCTTCGCCTCTCTCGCTCTCTTCCACCACCACCACTGACTCTGCACCGCCGCCACTGACTCTGCACCGCCGCCACTGGCTCTTGCACCACTACCGCCACTCGACTCTTGCACCGCCGCCACTGACTCTTGCATCACCACCGTCACTGACTCTTGCACCGCCGCCACTGACCCTGCACCGCCGCCACTGACTCTTGCACCGCAGCCACTGACTCTTGCACCGCAGCCACTGACCCTTGCACCGCCGCCACTGACTCTTGCACCGCAGCCACTGACTCTTGCACCGCAGCCACTGACCATTGCACCGCCGCCACTGACTCTTGCACCGCCGCCACTGACCTGCACCGCAGCCACTGACCCTGCACCGCCGCCACTGACTCTTGCACCGCAACCACTGACTCTTACACCGCAGCCACTGACTCTTGCACCGCAGCCACTGACTCTACACCGCAGCCACTGACCCTGCACCGCCGCCACTGACTCTACACCGCCGCCACTGACTCTTGCACCGCCGCCACTGACTCTGCACCGCCGCCACTGACTCTTGCACCGCAGCCACTGACTTTGCACCGCAGCCACTGACCCTTGCACCGCAGCCACTGACTCTGCACCGCAGCCACTGACTCTCAACCACAGCCACTGACTCTGCACCGCCGCCATTAACTCTGCACCACCGCCACTGACTCTTCCATCACCACTGCCACTGACTCTGCACCGCCACTAACTCTTGCACGCCCCCACTGACTCTTGCATCACCACCGCCACTGACTCTTGCACCGCAGCCACTGACTCTTGCACCGCAGCCACTGACTCTTGCATCACTACCGCCACCTGACTCTTGCACCGCCCCCACTGACTCTGCATCACCACCGCCACTGACTCTTGCACCGCAGCCACTGACTCTTGCACCGCAGCCACTGACTCTGCACCGCAGCCACCACCTGCACCGCAGCCACTGACTCTGCATCACCACCGCCACTGACTCTGCACCACTGCCACTGACTCTGCACCGCCGCCACTGACTCTTGCACTACCGCCGCCACTGACTCTTTCACCACCGCCACTGACTCTTGCATCAATACCGCCACTGACTCTGCATCAATACCGCACACTCTGCACCGCCCCCACTGACTTGCATCACCACCGCCGCTGACTCTTGCACCGCCGCCATTAACTCTGCACCACCGCCACTGACTCTTCCATCACCACTGCCACTGACTCTTGCACCGCCGCCACTGACTGTTGCACCGCTGCCACTGACTCTTGCATCACCCACCGCCACTGACTCTTGCACCGCCGCCACTGACTCTTGCACCGCCGCCACTGACTCTCTGCACCGCCGCCACTGACTCTTGCATCACCCCCGCCACTGACTTCGCACCGCCGCCACTGACTTGCATCACCACCTCCACTGACTTACACCGCAGCCACTGACTCTTGCACCGCAGCCACTGACTCTTGACCCGCCGCCACTGACTCTTGACCCACCGCCACTGACTCTTCACCCGCCGCCACTGACTCTTGCACCACCGCCACTGACTCTCCCGCCGCCACTGACTCTTGCACCACCGCCACTGACTCTGCACCGCCGCCACTGACTCTTGCACCGCCGCCACTGACTCTGCACCGCCGCCACTGACTCTTGCATCACTACCGCCACTGACTCTGCACCGCCGCCACTGACTCTTGCATCACCACCTCCACTGACTCTACACCGCAGCCACTGACTCTGCACCGCGCCACTGACTCTGCATCACTACCGCCACTGACTCTGCACCGCCCCCACTGACTCTTGCATCACCACTGCCACTGACTCTTGCACCGCAGCCACTGACTCTTGCACCGCAGACACTGACTCTGACCTGCCACCACTGACTCTTGCCCGCCGCCACTGACTCTTGCACCGCCGCCACTGACTCTTGCACTACCGCCGCCACTGACTCTTGCACCACACCACCACTGACTCTTGCACCGCCGCCACTGACTCTGCACCACCGCCACTGACTTTGCACCACTGACTTACACCGCCGCCACTGACTTGCACCACCACCACTGACTTTGCACCACCGCCACTGACTCTTTACCGCCCCCACGACTCTTGCACCACCACCACTGACTCGCACCCCGCCACCACTCGCACCGCCACTGACTCTACACCGCCGCCACTGACCTTACACCGCCGCCACTGACTCCTGCACCGCCGCCACTGACTCTTCACCACCGCCACTGACTCTTACACCGCCGCCACTGACTCTTAACCGCCGCCACTGACCTTAACCGCCGCCACTGACTCTTGCACGCCGCCACTGACTCTGCACCACCGCCACTGACTCTTGCACCACCGCCACTGACTCTTGCACCACCGCCACTGACTCTCCACCGCCACTGACTTACACCGCCGCCACTGACTCTTGCACCGCCGCCACTGACTCTGCACCGCCGCTTCTGACTCTTGCACCGCCGCCACTGACTCTTGCACCACCGCCATTAGCTCTCCTTTTAAAGCCCTTCAATAATTAGATTATTTTGATTCTCAGAAAATTTCGAAAAACATCAAAAGAAATTAATCAACGATGCACCTGTTTTTCTCTCTTGTTACAAAGGAAGAAAGAACAAAAGAAAGAAGAAGACGAAGAAATAAATTATAATAAACGTGAAGAATATATTAAAGAAAAATAAGCTAATAAAAACGAAACACAAATAGAGGCAGGCGTTTTAAGGTAAGAGAGAGAGAGAGAGAGAGAGAGAGAGAGAGAGAGAGAGAGAGAGAGAGAGAGAGAGAGAAGAGAGTATGTGTCCCAGCTATAGTGATTGTTTAGTACACTCTATGAACCTTCTCTCTGTGGACACATACAAGAAACACACACACCAACACTTCTTATACCTTCCGATAGTCCAGAGTTTGACAATGGTTCGTTCGGTGACTGAAGATGTAACAGAGTATACTAAACTATTTGATTTAAGACAAAACACAGGAAATATCTTCAAAAAATATGAATCAAACTGTCCTTACCTCAGTTAGATACGTTCATTTAAACACGAATTAGGAACTTAAAATTAATAAATATTTGATTTTGTCTTAAAACTTGTACTAAGTGAGACTCTGAACGTATCTAGGAAACGTAGAATCTCATCGTAATTCTAATGACATTTTTGGATGTTATCATTATTATTTCAGCTTATATGAACTAGTTAAGTGCATTTTATATGTTTATTTACAAGGAATATCTATTGTACGAACCTTGGGAAATCTTGACCAGGGATCACTGTACGTATATGACAGACTGGCATAAAATAAGGATATGATAAATAAGTGAGTAAAATGAAACAGCGACTGCGGTGTAATGTGTGAGTCCTTAAGTAGATGTCCAGCCTGGGTCAACACACGCGGGAGGGGACGTGAGCTACAGTCACAGATAACTCAGGGTCGCCCAGTAGCTAGGGACGCTCCCCAGGGCTCCCACTGCCCGGCCAGCCAGGGATTTGGCAGGAATCCCTGGTATTACTCCCCTAAACCTCTCACCCGACACCAGGGACTTGCTGGGATCTGGCCCCAGTAGTTAGCATCGACTCGAAAATCCTACCAGGTTTCATCTCTGTTTAAAAAAGGGCAGACAACACCAAGATGGAGGAACACTATCTCTCTCTCTCTCTCTCACTCCAAAAGTTTTTAATGGCTCTGGGAAAAGTCTTGGAAGGCATTATTTGCATTCTATGTTTACTCTGAAACAGTCAGCACTGAAGGGCTCAGTATAATCTTGCGACGATTCCCTTCGCTTCTCAGAATGACTTGAAGACTCACGACTGTTTCATCTAGACTCTCTTTTTGTCTTGAGGTAAAAATTGTAATACAGTTTAGAAGTTTTGGAGAGGAGGGACGGGATCATTCTCGGAGTCACCGGGAGCAATATTACTCTCTTACTCTGAGAGGATCGACGGTGTTTTCATTCTCACTTTATTTCTTTGTCGTAATGCCTCTATGTTTACATTTTTTAATTGTGTATGACCTCACCTGTGTGTGTGTGTGTGTGGAGGTGAGTGGTGATCAGTAAGTTACCTGGAATTATTGTGATTCATTTCGTGTTTCTTTGGATCGTCTTGGAAATTCCTGTTTCTTTTTTTTGTCATCGTCAGTTATCCTCCTATTCTCGAGTTTTCTTACTATTATTAATGTTTTTGGTTTCTCCTCTTTCCTTTCTATTCAAAATTAAAACTGTCTTCTACGTATTCTTATTTTTTTTATTTCAAACTATAATTAATACCTTTGTCATCTTCCTATCCTTTCTTTAACTAATGTCCTCCTCTTACTTGTTACAGATCACCACCCACCACAGCAACTCCCAACACCTATACCCTGAAACACTTGTACTTTCCCAGCAACTACCAGCAAGCCCTCCACACAATCCCTCAGACCCGAACAACTACCAGCAAGCCCGCCACACAATCCCTCAGACCCCAACAACTACCAGCAAGCCCTCCACACAATCCCTCAGACCCGAACAACTACCAGCAAGCCCGCCACACAATCCCTCAGACCCGAACAACTACCAGCAAGCCCTCCACACAATCCCTCAGACCGAACAACTACCAGCAAGCCCGCCACACAATCCCTCAGACCCCAAAACTACCAGCAAGCCCTCCACACAATCCCTCAGACCCGAACAACTACCAGCAAGCCCTCCACACAATCCCTCAGACCCGAACAACTACCAGCAAGCCCGCCACACAATCCCTCAGACCCGAACAACTACCAGCAAGCCCTCCACACAATCCCTTAAACCTGGCAGGAATGACTGAGAGACGAGAGTTATTAATATCCAGTAAATTAAAAAAAACAAAAAAACCCAACGCTTCTTTACTCTGATTTGTTGGGAGTTAATTGATTTTTTTTAATCCTGTAAAATATAATAAGGAATATTTAGTCAAATGTAGTAATCCTGTAATATATATATATATATATATATATATATATATATATATATATATATATATATATATATATATATATATATATATATATATATATATATATATATATATATATCAATGCAAAACAAAGTATGATACAAAAATAAATAATCACAATCTCGAACAAAGATCCGTCACCCTAACGCAACCTTAAACTATCTCCCTCTGTCGCTCTTAATCGTTCTTGTTCACCCTAACACATTCACAATGAGCCTAGATCGTCCATGTGTTACCCTGGTTGTAAATGGTCACCTTACCATATCCATTTAGGTCACCTTGGTCACCCTGGCATATGTACTATTGTCTTGGGTCGTCCCTATACCACAGTTTATGACCTCAGGCACCCTAGTGTCACTCTGACTCGTCCCTGGGTCACCCTTGGGTTACCCAGGCGGAGCAGAATGGTGGTGAGGCGAAAGAATCATTTTATGGAGGGCTAGCGGCACCTGCGAGAGCCTCAGGATGTGGCCCCAGGGTATAATGTAATCCTTCTGTCGCCTGCCGCCCGAGACACACACACACACACACCTCTCCTTCCAACCTTCCTCCTCTCCTTCTGTCCAAAGTTAATATAATGGTTGGGAGCGTTAACAGTTTTATGGAATATTTGTATTTACTCTGATATTGTATGTATTATGTATCTCTTCTACAGTTACTGAGGAGCCGCTGTTTTGATTCAGAAATTTTAACTA